CTGTTGGCCATCTGTATTTCTTTTTTGGAGAACTGTCTGTTCAGTTCCTCAGCCCATTTTTTAATTGGATTATTTGTTTTTTGTTTGTTGAGGTGGGTGAGCTCTTTATATATTTTGGATGTCAAGCCTTTATCGGATCTGTCATTTACAAATAAATTCTCCCATACTGTCGGGTACCTTTTTGTTCTACTGATGGTGTCTTTTGCTGTACAGAAGCTTTTCAGCTTAATCTAGTCCCATTTGTTCATTTTTGCTTTTGTTTTCCTTGCCCGGGGAGATATGTTCAAGAAAGGTCACTCATGTTTATGTCTAAGAGATTTTTGCCTATGTTTTTTTCTAAGAGTTTTATGGTCAAAACTTTTTTTTTAACTTAAATCTTACAAGGGAGCTCAATGCATAAAAATAATAAAAGCGCAGTTGCACTGGTTGAAGTATGTGTAGGGGGCCTCAAACCCTTATCCCGACCAGGCAGCCCCCGGGATACTTCTGTCAACCCCAGGACTCTGTACAGCAAGTCTGGAAAACACTGGTCTAGCAGTTCCCCAGGGTCCTCTCCTACTTTCAAATGCTCAGGTTCAATGCTCAGGTGGAAAGGTTAGTATGGTGGGCTCAGGGACTATGTCTCCACTAAGCAAGGCTCCAGACCTGATAGGTATCCTAAGGAGTGCAGACCTGCTCCCAATCCACAGGGCTGTGTCTAATATTCCCCCCATCCTACATACACGTGGAACCTAATCCTACTCTTACCTCTGCAGGACTCAGAAGTAGCTAACATCATCTTTAGCTAGAAGTAATAATCCTGCTTATCCCTGAAATTCCAAGCTAGCAAGTCATCTTTTTGGATAAAGTGCTCTCCAGTTCCCATAAAAGGAGGCATTCATCTCACATGCTTCCATATGGTCACAGGACAAGTCATCTGGTCCATTCCTCAAGAAAAGCAGGAGAGTAATCACATCCTAGCATTTGAGGTAGGCCTGGTGACTGCAGGGGCCAGTGACAAACCTCACCTTCACTGCCACCTCCCCTTGGCCCCTGCCACACAACCACACTTACTGCTCACCCTGTCCACCTTTAAACATGAAGCAGAGACAAGTTCCTGGGTTCTTGCTTGGACTGACTGGCCCAGCCCAGCCTTCTCCTCTAGCCTCAGGAGCCTCGGACCTTCAGTCCTCACAAAGTTACTTAGCTCTTCTGCTGATGAAAACACGAGTCCAGAGATGCTAGCACAGAAAGATGCCTCCCTTCCCCAAAGTGCACCGACAGGCTAGAGGCAGCCAGCAGGAGGCACAAGAAGCCTCCCCCACTCTGTCCTCCTCCATGCCCTTCTCCAGCCACCTTAAATAGTGCACGTCTCCTTGGTCCACGGGAAGACTGAAGACGTGGGATTTCAAAAGGATGAACCAACCTTTGAAAAGAAAGCACAACCCTGTGAGTGACTATGCTTAGAATCAGGCTATGCAATGAAACCCAATTGGAAGCCTCACTTCAGGCCCTCTGAAATCTTCTGCAGCCTCATGCCCAGCCCCACAGCCCACGTCCAAGCCTGTTTCCTACCTGTCACCGAGTGATCCATTAGGCTGGACAGCTTTAGACGCTCAGACATGGGTCTGAATTCTCAGTATGTGCCTTACTAGCTAAGTAAGCATGAACAAACCACTTGATTTCTCTAAAGGCTCTACAAAAGAGGGTTTAAAAACAGTTCCTGCATGACTGGATGGCTGAGGGTTCCATGAGACAGGTTATGGACAGGACTTACCTGGCACAGTGACTGGCCCTGGACGCATTCATTAAAGTTAGCTCTGTCTTTATTATTGTCCCACACTCATCACTGCACCTTCCCCAGACAACTACCCCCCCCACCTCCCCAATACCTCTGTATTCTCTTCTCCACCTAGAAAGTTTGCTTTTGATCAATCAAAAGCTTCTATCCCTCAAGGCCCAATTCAATCAGTGACCTTTTCCAAGGGATCTTCCCTGACTATCCAAACACAAAAGGATCTCTCCCTTCTCCCTGTTTCTTTCACCAAGTTCTCTTTACCTTCTAGATTGAAGAAACATGAGGCTTTGGCCTCAGTTTCCCATCTATCAGAAATGGGTAATAATCCTCTGCTTCCTTCCTGCTGAATGAGGTACTGTGAAGTCCTCAGGAGATTGGATGCTTAGTAAATCACAACGTGTGTAGGTGCTTAAACATTTGGAGTTGAGTAATTTTATCCAGTGCCTGAGGATAATGAATTTTCTTATTTCATGGACACCTAAATCAGTGTGTATGTTTTTATAAGCTGGCATACAGAATTCTGTGTATGTACGAATACAGTATTCAGACATACACAATAAGACATTTTAAACACTTCAGTAGTAAGAGCTGCCCCTGATGCAGCACTTCCTGTATACACTCCCATAAATTCATCCCGATACTCATAACAACCCACACCAGGTACTAGTACAATCCCCATTTTATAGAGGGGCAACCGAGACACACAGAAAGTAGGAGTAATTTGCATGCACTTAAGCTACAATTAGCAAGTAGGGAAGCCAGGATTGGATCCTGCAGATCACACTGTGGGTTCACTCTCTTAATCCTGAAGCTGTCCCTCACAGCTTAATAGCTCTAATTTCTTGACTGTTCTGGTTTCTACTAAAGGTGCCTTATTCCCACACCTCTGCAAAGGTGGTACCACAAGGGCCTTCTCTACCACTAGGTATAGCCATATATTCGCAGAATCTTGGTTCCCTAGGATGTGAAATAAAAGGGTTTTATCCATATAGGTGACTTGCATCCCTGGCTGTACATCAGAGTCAATATGGGTACTTTTGAAGATCCCTATTCCAGATGAATTAAGTCAGAGGCTGAGGTGGGGCCTAAACTGGTCATTTGAAAAACATCTCCACATGATTATGATATGTAGCTAGCATCAATAATCACTAAATCACAGTTCAGGCTAGTGCTCCTCAAGCTTTTAATATGCACAGCAATCACTGGGGATCTTGTTAAACTGTAGTTTAAGTTCAAGGTCAGAACGAGATTCACCATTTCTAGCAAGCTTCCTGGTGATGCCAATTATTCCAAAAACCATACTTTGAATTAGGATTTAGACCAGTGGTTCTAAAGTGAGGTCCACTGACCCCTGGGGAACTCTAACACCCTTTCAGAAGGCCCATGAGGCCAAAACCATATTCATAACAATACCAATTTTCCATTTATCATTTCACTCTGTTGACATCTGCACTGATGGTGCAAAAGCAATGTTGGGTAAGA